ATAGAATAGAATAGAATAGAATAGAATAGAATAGAATAGAATAGAATTCTTTATTGGCCAAGTGTGGTTGGACACACAAGGAATTTGTCTTGGTGCAAATACTCTCAGTATACATAAAAGAAAAGATACATTCATCAAGAGTCAATTAGATTTTTCCTTGACAACCATCCAAAAGTGCTTCATTTTGTCCAATCCTGTTTAGCTTTTTCAAGATTATTAGGGTGCTACTAACCACAGTGGCCTCTATCTGCCAGCAATTAAGGGTTATTTGATTTCTTAATATTCTGCACCCCCAAAATTGCAAGCGAATCCAAAGGAGTATTTATTTATTTAGAGCAGTATAGTGGCCTAGTGGTGAAGATGCTTGCCTCCCATTTGGAAGGTTGAGAGTTCCATCCTAGGTAAGGGCAGATAGTTTCTCACCTAGGGCACAAATAAAAAAAATATCTACTGTGAACTCCTGATAGGTATCAGGAAGGGCATCTCAGGCCCATCCAGTTGCCCTGACTCTACCCCAAATAGGGACTACAGGATCGTAAAAATGACATTTTATTTATTTATTTATAAAATTTATATGCCACTCATCTTGCAATCTATACAGTATGCTACTTGTCTTGCTTTACTCTTTTGTAAGCTTTCTTTGAAAATTTTATGCTTTAAAAACTTTTTTTTGTTTAATTTGTTTTAAAATCTGCTTTAAAAACAATAAATATATAGCCATCACTGTTTTTTCCTCATGATAAACTATAGAGGTTACAGATAATCAGAGTTGGAAGAGTTGGAATCTAGTCCAACCCCCACCTAAGCAGCAGACTCTACACCATTTCTGACAGATAGCAGTCTAATCTCTTCTTGAAAGCCTCCAGTGATGAAGCTCCCACAACTTCTGAGGGCAAGCTGTTCCATTGGTTGATTGTTCTCATGAGAAAATACAACTTTACTTTTGTACATATCACTTTGGATGTGAAAATGCCACATTAAGTTGGATTATTCTTAAAGTAACTTGGATGGGACAGGGTCATTTCTAAGATTTGAGTTCACCACTCACAATGGATTTGGGTGACTTAGTTTCTGCTAGTGCTAGCTGCATCTTGTCAGACATTGTTCAGACGAGAGATTATTAAAGGATCCAGGTCTACCTTCTCAGATTTACAATTGGGTAGCAAAAAACTTCAAGAATAGTAAGAACAAAAATATACATATTAATTGAGTGTCTTTTGCAAACAAAATTAATATAAAACTGTAGCATGTGACTGTAGCTGATGACTCCCAAGTCATCTTCTAAAGAGCAAAGCTGATTTTTATAGGTGTGTTATATAGTGGGTTAGATATCCATTCAAAATTTATTGTTTGCTTGCTTGCATGTACATTGGCTTGCAAAGGGATCTCGTTAAAAACAATAAAGCAAGAACTTAACATCTGGTAGGCAAAAGTGAGCACATGACAAAAGACATTTTGTCATCAATTGCGACAATGCTATTGAGACAGTAAGGAGCAGCATGAAAGGTAAATAGATTACCTGTGTATTAGGACACACACAATGAATCTGTAAAAATGCAAACAATTAGTTTCACCTTTGCTGTAAGAAATCAAACACTGTGTAATGTTTTATTATAAAATATCTGTTCTTAAATGTTATTTCATGTTAATCTAACCTATGCCAATTTAGGGACTGGAATTAAACCAGGTTGAACAAGTTATTTCAACTTGCAGGAATTTAATAGGAAATAGAAGATAATAGTAGGACCTGATTATTACAATAGTCCATCAACTGTTTTTCTCTAGTGCTAGCTTGATTGAACTAGAAACTATGAAAAACACAAGAAATTACTCCTTCTATAGAAGGAAACCTCTAATTATAACTACAACAGACCTAAAATTGTGCTTTGAAGTCTGCAATTGGCAGGCTGCTTCAGCAATTAAGTTTTATACAAAGGATCTGCAATCTAATTTTTATGGCCTTCAGAATCTTTTTCCAAGGTGCTATTGTCAATATTCAGGAATACATTTTCAGTATTGCCGACTTTCATGGTTTTATTAAAATAAGGATTAGAAAAGATGCTTTTCACCTCTTCTTTATTCATTGTATTCTTTTGCTTTTAATATCCAATTCCACCCTTAGAAATGAGCAAACTAGAGACTTGTGCTCTCTGGAAATATCACTTCAAGCCTCGCAAAATCTAGATGTCAATAGGAAAAAAATGCAGCCCCCATAAACAAAAATGTTTTTCTACCTTTATTTATTGATAAAAGTTTTTTTTATTGATAAAATTTTTTCAAAATGTTAGACGGCCATGAGGAAAAAATAAAATAAAATTCAAGAGCTGGCAAAAATACTATTTCTCTCAAAGGTGAGGAACCAAATAATGACAACTGCAGATAAAACTGCATTCAAAATAATTCACTGTTGCTTAAAAAAAAGAGAGAAAGAAATTGAGGGGACTAATCAGAACTTTAGGGAGGAATTAGCACTGCACAGCTGTAAAAGTTTTTTAGAGAAAGCTTGAAGCTTGATTCTTTTGTCAATACATTCAAATATAACGCTTGAATTTCCACATACAATGAAATCTTCTCTCAGGGACTAATTGCAGGGAGTGGGTGTCCATTATTTCTGATTGTCTATTAAATTGGAAAGAATGTCATTTGCAATAACATTGTTATGTGCCCAATCCAAATTATATTACTTGCACCGATCTTGTCATTTGGGTAATGACATCATTATATAAATGACATAAAATGTAAATACAATGGTAACCAAAATCTGTTGCACCCAGTTCCCCTAAATTGAAGGGTAGCATAAAAAAAATCAACTGTAACCTCATGGTTAAATCTCTTCCAATGCCAAATATACATTATCAAGTATTTGAGACAGAAATTCTCTGCATTAAGCTCTTAAGGGAGATGATCAGTGATATCAAATAAAAGATATTGTGGAGATGTTTCTTATTTCTTTATGCAACAGTGCTGGGTTTTTTTTTTCTACTTAAAAATCATGAAGAAAAATTGGGAAAGCATGGCAGAATTACACAGGAAAGACAGAACTGTCTAGGATTCAAATAAAATTTTACGAATGCAATAGGAAAAAATCACAATAAAAGATTGCCCTGAAAGACCCAGAGTGAGCCCAAAGACAATTGAATAAATAGGCTGATCTTTTGAAAGAAGGACTAGAAACAAGCATAAAAATTCCTGTTCATTCTCAAGTTATACAGATAGTCCTTGATTTAGGACACAGTTGGGACCAGAATTTCCATTGCTAAGTCACGTCCTATTTTACAAACTTTTTTTTGCTATGATTGTTAAGCAAATCACTGCATTTGTTAAATGAATCATGCGGTCACTCAGCAAATCTAGGTTCCCTGTTGACTTTGCAACTGTCATAAATACAGGCTGATTGTTAAGTGCCCAAATTTTGATCACAGGACTGTAGGAATGCTGCAACAGTCATAAGTGAGAGGACCAGTTGTAAGTCACTTTTTTTTAGTGCTGTTATAACTTTGAACAGTCACTAAATGAAAGGACTACCTGTATAAGTTAATGATTAAAATCCAGAAATACTTTAACCAGATTGTATGCATTTGCCATACATGATCCATCCTATAAGGAGATAATAAATCATCTTTTCAATGTAGGATTACATAAAATTGTGGAGAACTTCTTAAAAATAAAGCTGCAACTTTTTAAAATCTAAAATGCTTCTTTTATGAGTTTAGGCATAGAGAAGCATATATATATATGTGCACTGAATGCAATTGCAAGAGCTCTTCCAGATCACTTTCACTGCTTTTTGAATGCTACATCTATATTTATCCATGGATTCCAGAATATTTTAAGCCCAATGTTATTTTTTTTTCAAAATCTCATTTTCAAAATATCAGTATTTAATCTATAATGCCTAAACTAACAATATATGTGTGAAACCTGGATATATCTGTTAAAATGTATTGTTACCAAATTGAAAAGGGCATGCCCTGAATTACAACTTTAAAAACTTCAAATATTGCAACCTGGTTTTATCTAACTATAAAATGGTTGCATTATTTATCTAATTATCAAATGGTTGCAAATCACCACTGATAACAGAATTTGTAAGGGATCATCATCCTGTCAAAAGTAAAGAAAAGGAAATCCTTACCTGTGGATGATTGTTTCTATCATCCGAAAAGTTTTTATCCTGTAAAAGGTCAATATAAATTACTTCAGTACAAGTAAGGGCATCTGAAAGAAAATAATCATACTCTCTACCTCACAGAAAGAGGATACCTTCCACTAAAAAAGAGTATATGATATACATTTATATATGAGTTTGATTCTTTCCCTTTCTTTGACCTGATGGGAAGTGTGTTGATGCCTATATTATACCATAATATCAGAATTGTAGGGAAGAGGGAACAACCAATCTCTGTTGGTTCATACAAAACTCCTTTTTTGGCTTCCTGGTACGTCCATTCTATTTTAGTTTTGGGGGGAGGTTCGGAAAGTGTGGTTGTTGCTTTTATTAAATCTTTACTTTCTCTCCCACAACATTTCCCTATTCAAGAGCAAAGAAGGAACAGCAAAGTATGTTCAACAGCTGGACCTGGCAAACAATAGTCATTGGAGCTTCTTCTGCTTCCTTCTTTCCTCCCTTCCTTTCCAAGGACTTTTTACACTCCAAAGAGTTGTGAATGGCAATCTGTTGTGTTAAGCAGTTTTAGCCACAGGTAAATAGGTACCATCTTAAGATGGAAAGAGGAAGGATCTCAAATGGAATAAATAGTCCAGTTTCCCACCCTTCGGTTCAGAAGATCTTCACTACAACAGCAGATTAGAGTCCCAAAGGGCTCATCCTCCATCCTCTCTAACCACTGTATAAACATGCCCCATATTTTTTTTATTATTCCACATCCTTTCAACTGTATCTTCATCTGAACCCAGTAAAGGCAGCTAAACACCATCTTTAGCCATACCAGTTTCAAAATAAAAAGTACCTCTTCTCCCCAAATTTTTTTGCCCATGGGCACAATCTGGCATGATTCACTGAGGGTGTAAATTGCTGCAGTTGAGGGACACTATTTTGACCAACTCCAGTTGGCCATTCTAGGTTATTCTGTTTGTTGGGAACCATTTTATTGCCATTTTGGCCAGATTGTTGGAAAGCCCAGACACCTGGCAGAAGCAAAGGCTCAAACACTGACCAGTGCTTTCTGAAGGGCTTCTCAGATCTAATGTGGGCTCTTTATAAACATGGGGTTAATGCTCTTTTGAAAGAGTGCTAGACTTGCTTTCAATCATTGGTTTAGTGCTCTTCTGAAAGACCTCTGTTTAAAGGTCTTAACTCTACTTTCTACTCCATACAAGATAGATTTAAGCTACGAAGAACTAGGTTTTTCCAATAGGTTTTTGCTGGTTTTCCAGCACAGGGCACAATATATTTTTCCACAGTTTTTCCAACAAGGGATTTTATATAACCATACTTTCCGTACTTGAATGTGGTTGGAAAGCATCATTTCCCTTTCCCTGCTATATTCCTCTTTAATGGCCATTCACAAGCTATTCTGGGTACTCCTTTCTACAAGGACTTGCTGTCTTGCTGCCTGTTTCCATTCTCTTGCATCATTAAGCAAGATCAAAGCTCTGCCAGGGCTCCACCATAATTCAGAAATGAATCTCCCGAGAACGCAAACCTGTATTCTGGAGTTAGTAACAAAGAATCAAGGACAAGTGTGAATAGATAAATTGCTTTTATTGAAGACACCAGAATAGCTTTAACAACAAAGATCAATTACAGAGGGTCTAAAAATCAAAATATATTTGTAACAAAGCCAGTGCTTAAATATCATGTCTCTTCTTTACACACTTATGTGGCAATTTCTCAGTCTTAGATGTGTAAAACACCTGCACATTGCTTCTGGCCCTGTCAACTTCAGTCCCCACAGTATTATTTTTCTCCCTGGGATCTGGACATTGCTATTTCTTTCTTACTCTCATGCGGGATAGGCTAATTTTACTTCCCTGTTTCCTCCCTCCCTCCCTATTTATCATGTAGAGCAGACAAAATTTCCCCACCTTAAGGGACATCTGTTATTATTATTCATTTATCACATTTATCTGCCCTTCCTTTCTCTTGCCTGGGGTACTTCCTGGCAAACATTGGAGAAGTTCTCAGTATCTTTGTCATCATTTCTCCCTCATCCAGAATTGCCCCCCCCCCACCCCCGTTAAAAGGTTGGGGTGGTAGTTTCTGTGTTCCTCTTGTTACTGATACATTTGCTTTCCTCCTTTTCCCAGGTCAGTTTCCTTTACAGAGAAAGGATGGAGCTGAAGTGCACAAAGAGCAAAAGGGGGATTATTGACCCAGGAAGGATTGGCAAAAGACCAAATGTACTTTTAGTGTAGATGGAAGCTGCACACAAAAGTTAATGGTACTGATCTATGTAAGTTCCACAGACAGTCCAATAAACTTGGCACACAACTTCTTAGACAGTTGCATTGAAGACTGGAACCTAGGAGGAAGCCAGTTGTATCTTACAGCAATAGAATGGTCTTCCTTTTGGTACGGGTAGCAGGGCATTTGCAGGATCCTTGAAGAGTCACAGCATATCTTGCAGTTTATGGTAAAAATGGAATGAGAGGAAGTCAAGAAGTATCAAGCAGCAGGTGCAAGCAGTATCATAAACAGCCTGAAATTAAGACATTTGAGTAGAGGCATGAATTAACTGAACCACAGCTAAACCTCAGGCCAGGTTTTGAGTTGGTCATTTATGCAGCAAAGAAAGTGTTGTTCTTTCCATTCCTCTGTCAGATTGTGGATGACAAGTGGAACATTAAATCAATTGTCGATACAATGCCATTGAAAATGTTCTGTGAATTGAGTGCCCTCTGTCCAGAATAAAATGATCAGTCAATCTGTGGTTCTCAGGAATGTATGGAAGGCAACAAAAAGGGATGAAAAGAGCCATTTTAGAGAAAAGGTCCAGTAGTATTAGAATGGCATCCAAGCAAATAACATGTGGTAATGAGTAATAAAGTCCAAAGCAAACTGTGTTCATTAATCCTTGTAGTTATGGGGAGAGTGCAGCAGTTCTGCTGTCTAGGTAGTATGAAGCTTCATACAACGATAAAAATATCAACTTTCACATCTGTTGTAAATTGAGGCCACCAGAAACCAGGGAATAAGAAGTGAAATCCAGAAGAATTCCAGATGAAAGGAATTGGGTTATTATCTCTAATAGTTAACAGAGCTCATGATGTTGTTGATGTTTTGGAAGGGAGAGTTGAGGATCTGAGAAGGATATTGCCATGTAAAGTGGTCAATGTGAGCACCGTACAACCCAACTCCAGGGCTTCAACATCCAAAGTGTCCAATTAGTGGACAGAGAAGGATAGAACAAGAGATAATAGTGGTGACCCATCCATTCTCTGCCACAGTTCCTCAGGCCTCCCATCAATCCCCAAGCATAGTTGGATTAATATAGACAAAGTCTTTGTAATCCTCTCTTTTACCTGATAGTACTGCTTCTAATTAGCCATTTAAGCCTCTTTTATTCCAACTGGCAACCTGACTGGAGATCAGCAACATACTTTCATGTGGAATGGTTTCCTTGTTAGAGAAGAGGAGTTACCCATTTTGATTCACCTTCCAATTATAAATCTTGAGAGCAATTTGTGGGGAAAAAATCCTTAAGTGTTAGAGAGGTGTACAAATCATACAGAACAAGAAAGGCAGAATATTTGCCAAGATTCCTTTTGTTGTGTGTCAGTTTTTTTTAACTTGTTTCTACAATTGCTGGATCTTTGGTAGAGGCACACAAAAGGCCAATAGCAACAGTTCCGCTTGTTCAATCTGAGTCAACCCATAATTCTGATATTGGAATAAAAGGTCGGCAACCGATATAACCATCAGTTAATTTGTAAGAAGGTTGATAGCCATGGTTTTAATCTTGGAGTCTTAAAAGAATTCTCTTCTTCTATGGGACTGGGAATAGGAATAACTTGTTTTGCCATCAGAGCTTCACGTCGTGCACAGAAATAAGTCTCTTTCTAGGAGCTCAAACCTGCTCTCTGGAGCTAGCAGCAAGGAATCAAGGACAAGGTCAGATAGATAGGTGGCTTTAATTGTAGATTCAAAGAAGGTCAGATAACAAAGAAGTTCAGCTACTGCAGGACCTAGGAAGCAAGCCATATTTATATCAAACCATTATATTTGAACACTCCTTCTTTCCCCCACCCTTATGTGATAACAGACGTCTGCATTCTGCAGCCTTGGGTGTGGAGCATTCCCTAAATAGGATTTTGATAAGGGACTCAGGTCTCTTTCTTCTAATTTTTCCAGGCTCAACCCACCCAGACAATGATACCACCTAAACATGGCATTTCAAGCACTTGCTTGTCCTCACTCAACCTTGCCCACATTAGTGGAAGGATTTCTGATCATTCTCCTAAACAAGCAGAAGGCAAGGCTTTGCAGGTACAGGAAATAAATTGGGAAAGCCTATCAATCATTTCCTTAGTAATTGCTGGTGTTGTTATTAAGGCAATCAAAGCCACACTTTTCTGTTGGTTCAAGAACTGATGAATAGCACTTTAACACAGTAATCCAATTAGGCTCTTAAAAGCCCTAATTCTAGAAACTATTTACCAATTTAAATTTACTATGAAGCTGAAATTCTTACCTGGTCATAGGTATACCTTTGTTCTGAATTAAAGGGTTCATTCTGAAATAAAGATAGCAATTAAAGATGCTTCATTATGTTGTTACAAATTATGTGAGAAATATGGGCCACCACCCACATTCAGTGTTTCTTGACTGCCTACCACCTCCATCCACGTGTTGTTTGCCTCTTTTGGATCTTGCTGGGTTCCTTAGATATTCACAACTTTCAGGACTTGTATAAGATGGAACTCACTTATTCTAATTATTACCTGCTTCCTCCTGCTCTTTCAGTGAACAGGTCATATATGTAGTGGAGGGATTGCATTGATCAGAAGTTTTAGGTAAGTTCCCTCCCACTTCGCTCTGTATCCTACTTCCATAACTGCAATCTGTCAGCTGGACTATATTTTTAAATTCAGGTTTATCTTCTTTCCTGAAGCATGTTTAGTCATGCTTAGAAATAGCTATGAAGACAACGCTGGCCTTTTGCGGCAGTAAAACAGGGGACAATAGTAAGAGCGGTATGTTTTATGTTGGCGCATACTTTTTCGCCACCTGAATAATTGGTAGATAACATGATTTTAGGCAGGACTGCCTGAAAGAGCCTTTTGATGCCATTTATAGGATCAGCACTTAGATGTATATACCACTTCACAGTGCTTTACAGGCCTCTCTCAATGGTTTACAGAATCAGCATATTGCCCCCAACAATGGAAGACTGAGTCAACCTTGAGCCAATCAGGATCAAATCCCTGTAATACTACATTCTCACCACTGTGCCACCACAGCTCCTTTATACTTGTTTATAATCTATTTATTACTTCATGCTTCTGTAAAATGTCATTTTATATATATCCCTTAAAACACACTACGTGGGATTTATAATGCCCGCTCTTGTCTTTAATATCGTATTTCATAAACCTGAAAGTGCATGTTGTAAACAAGACATAAATACTGTAGTGTTCAACATTTGTGGAAAACTCCCATTTCTTTACATTTGCAAATTGTACTGGTTTATCAAAATATAAAATACAAAACACACAAAGAAAAATAAAGATAATGGAAAAATAAGGATGAAAAGGGAAAGAGAAAAAAGTTCAGGGCAGAGGGAAAAAGAAAAAAAGGCTTTGATTTCTGAATTCTTTTGGTGCAGTAGAATATGGTAGTAACTTAAGGCTCAACTTTTTACTTTTATATAATAATATATACTAGCAGAAAACTTCTATTTCAAGCAGTCCCAAGTTTAAATGACGGACATAATCAAGTCTTTTGAGGTTAGAACATTTTGAGACCGTAACATTTTGTAAATTCTGAATATATAGGAGTTGTTGTTTTGGTTGCAAAAGTCATAATTTGATATTTTTTTGGACAAAAAGTCATAAAGTATTTCTTTGATTCTGTTATTACCATGGGGCATGCATATTTTCCCCATATAGAAAACAATTGTAGTGTGTATTGAATTTTGGGCAGTTCTATGACTGATGGAAAGGAATTTGAAGTTCAAATCAAAAGTAAGAAAATAATTTTTGTCAGTGCTTTTTCACGTCTGGTTGCTCTTTATTTAGTTTTCTTTTCATTTAATGCCTTGGGAAACTATAAAACTCTAATCAGTAAGTAATGACTATTATACCAAGAGATAATCACTGGGAGTTCATGCACTAGTTACTGAGATACAGCAACAGATTGTGAAAATACACTGTTCTGATATGACATTATTGACCAAGCCTTCTTTGGAAGATAAAACATGTGCCAACATAACTTTTACCCCAGCATGGAAATCAGCCAGCAATTTCAACAGTTCCTCTTCTAGATACAGATTACTTTGTAATATTAAAAATGTAGCAGGTGATTATCTTTTCTGAATGATTTTTTAAAACTTTTCAATTCAGCCTGTAACTCTGGCATTCCTCAGTGGTTTCCCACAGCAGTTACATACCAGACCTGATGCTACTTAGTAGTAGACACGAATCAATTAGAATAGAAGATGTTAATTGAAAATATAAGTAGCCACCAGAACTGGGATAAGCAAATAAATGTGTCTGATTCTTGTCAGAAATAGTGTCTTTTTCTCTTAAGGGTTGACAAAGAGATCTTTATATCTGAAAGCAAAAGGAGGTGGTATTCAGCATGTTCTGACCAGTTCTAGAGAACTGGTAGCGGAAATTTTGAGTAGTTCAGAGCAGTAATAGTATTCAAATAAAGTTGCTACCGGTTTGGTGGGCGTGGCTTGGTGGGTGCGCTGTGCACATGTGCACACTTTGGGTGCACGCGCATGCCAAACGTGCACTTTGCGCAGGTGCAGAGGCATTCTAACTCACCTCCTGCAAGCCTGCACGATGCCGGTCGCTGCAGCAGCTGCCACGCAGTGCTATTCTGCACCGCGCAAAGCAGCTGCACTCCGAATTCTGGCCATAAAAGTGAGTATGGGAGGCCAGGCAGGTGGGTGGGCCAAACACAGAGCAGCGGAGAGAACCGGTTCCGTCTCCACTCCTTATTGCCGCTATCGGCTCTCCAGAACTGGGCAGAACCAGTATAATGCCACCACTGGTTCAGAGAACCTATGGTAACCTTCCCCCAGGAGTGAAGAGGGAATGTAGATTTTACAGTATACTTCCTCTGGAGTAGGGTGGGAATGGAGATTTAATCCTTCCTCTACCATGCCCACCAAGCCACGCCCACAGAACCGGTAGTAAAAAAAATTTGAATCCCACCACTGAGATTAAAGTAAAAACAAAACAAAACACCCCTCACATTCACAAAGCAAAGTGAATCAGAACTTATAGTGATGAGAAGCACGTACCCTCTTTCCCCGAATCTTATTGATCAATGTCTTAAGTATATTCTGTGGAAGAGAAAACACAAGTCATAAACCAAGTTAGTTTGATGGAGGAATCCTTCCTACTTTTATCTGATTTAAAGAAAATCTCCATTTGGTTAGTCAGTGTACTTACTGGAGCTGATGCAGCCCTTTTGCGTCTACAGTTTCTTGGGTTCTTCTGTTAAAGTAAAAATATTATAACAATGAAATGAAATGAAATGAAAACAACCGGTCTTTGGTGTCCTAAATTATGCCCGTGCAAAGTCAGTCAGATCTATCCGCAGTTTGATTGTCAAAACATCCGAACTAACTTTTCCCACTTGGCCAATTTTATCTGAAAGGTTACAGAAAAATGAGGGTAAAAGGTACTTTTAAACAATGCTCATTCTATCAGAATAGGCACAGCTCTAGCATGGTGAAGTCACCATATCTTGTATTACAGTTCCTGGAATTTCAAAAAGCACAGCCACTAGATGGCAGCAAAGAGGTACAGGAAGCACTAAATTGTATACAATGTAGTGTGCAGCTCTAATTTGAAAGGTTTATAATTAATCCCATATAAAAAACTTGCTACTCATTCATCAGAAAAAGCTGAACAGTAGTGCCATTCATAAGTTAAGAAAAGCATGGGAGCAAAATAAGTGTAAAAGCTGTTGCAGGAAAAATCCAAGACAGCCAATGTCTTCTTTTCAAGTTCAAAAAAAAATCTTCTTCAAAGAAAATTTAAAATTCAAAGAAAGGACACTAATTAAAAACAACAACCAAGGGAAAGTTAAATATTTTGCTCCATTGTACTGTAATTGTTTCCTTTTCTTCAGAAAGGATTTTCTCCAAATGCATAGAAATGAAAACAAAGTCATAACGAAACATAGAAATCTTTTTTTTTCCCCTTGCAGGCCTTTCTTATGTTAGCAGAGTTGTGATCTGTTGGAGGAATAAATAAAAACTTTGGAGATAAAGTCTAAGAAACAAAGGACTGCTTTACAACCAAAGTAATATTAGGTGTAACTTCTGTCATTAGAATTATTCTGGGTTTATATAAAACATAAAGTGGAAGAAAAAAGTATTATGTATGATTAGTAGAGACTGTTAAGAGATTTGAAATATCATCATAATCAACAGTCATGACAACTAAGGTAATAAAAGTGATCTAAATATATATTCATATTAATAGTTCTAATTGAGGAATATTGCCTTCAAAGAGTCTAGAAACGGCATGAGCAAAAGAGAAATCTTTAATTTAACCAAGCACTACTTTTGAAACTGCTTTAAATAGGAAAAAAAAATGCTCAGACTGATATAGAAGTGATATAGCATGAATAGGTTGTACTGACACTTTTAAATGGCATTTGGTGTTATTAAAATGTGTGAGAAAGAAAGCAGAAAACAGTTTTTTTTTAATATCAACTATAATTTTACCGACCCATATTGTAAATTTGAAAAATGCAAAGATTTCTGAAAAAGAACTTTCTTAAATCTTAAAGAGCCCTGCTTTTTATCTACAGATAAAAAATTTTTACCTACAGAAAAAAGACAATACATTATTCATATTTTGAATGATACTTTTGATGGAGCATATTCATCCCTTAGTTACCGCACAATTTAAGGTTCAGACAAGCGAAGTTAAACTGCAATTAAAGTAGAAGAGAAGTTCCTAATCTCATCAAGGGTGTGTGCCAGGGGAAGAAAACAGCAAGGCTTTATTCATTCTCAATATTGTGTTTTTTTCACAGGATAGGCAATTTCATTATGGCCAGTTTTGGAAATTACAGATTAATAACATCTTGATACTTATTTTTTTTCATTTTACGATCCTGTAATCCCTTTTATTGGGATGGAATCTAGGTGATTGAATAGAGCTCAGCGTTTACTGGCCAGATACCCTTCCTGAATCCTACGAAGAGTTCACAGCTGATATTTTCTCCTTGCCTCTTAATAGAGAAACATCTGTCACTGCCTAGGATTGAACTCTCAGCCTCCTGAGTGTGGGAGGCGAGTGTCTTCACTTCTAGGCCATTGTGTCGCTCATTGTGATACTTGAACATAATAAGCATTTCTAAGGGATATGGTTGAATGGGGTTACAACTTTATGTCATTTGAGAAATAAGTGAAAGGTTACTATTTCAAAATAAAATATTACTTATTTTATATGAACTATACTTACTTCACCACAACCCTTAATATTGGAGCCTCCACTAGTTTGTGAACCCTGCCAAGGAAATAAGAAATGGATCCAATTATTTCTTATCATGAGAGAGCCACTTAAATATCATAGCCTGAGGAGCATGGAATTAAAAAATTATGCAAGTGTGTCTTATCCAAGAAGGTCACCCATGTTGACAAGAATAATAGAAAACAGTTACTCTGGGACTGTTTTAGAAAAGTGTTTAAGTTGTCCAGGCAGATGATAGATCGGTGGTGTCAAACTGGCAGCTCTTGGGCTGGATACAACATGTGCAGGCCAGGCCCACCCCAGCTCCACAAATGGGAAAACATTGCAAAATGTCACGTGATGGCAACATGACACTGCAAGTGTGACATCCATGTGATAGATAGATAGATAGATAGATAGATAGATAGATAGATAGATAGAT